GATAACAAAATCTAAAAAGCTTTTTTTTTTTGAACTGCTTTAGGGAAGAGCCATAGGTACATACAGCTTTTTAAACATCGCAGCCAGGTGATTTGAAATCTGCATTAGTTGCAGTGAGTTTCTGGGAGTTGCAGGAGCAAAATTTCTCTAGTTCTTTCCAGTTCCACAGAATAGGGTTTTTTGGTGGTGGTGGTTTTTTTTTTGCTGTTTTTCTTGGTTAAGACTGTGTGTACATTCCAGTGTCTAGGCTGGGCAAGAGTATCTCCGTTGATGCTTTGTACTGGCTGGTGTGATGATTCCACATGTTTGAAATAGTTGGTCCACCATGTCTCACAGACTGCTGTAAAGTGGACTTAGTGGAAATTTTAGTCCATGTATTCTAGTTGCTGTATTCTTGCTGGTCTGTTTTGGGATGGTTGTAGGAAAAAATGAAAAAAATCACCACACGGACAATGCTGAAGAAAGTATTTTGTCCATTTTCAGTCAGGCTGTGTTTTTGTAGCGCTCCAAATGCTTTTTGCAGTGTAATGGCGTGGTACCTCAGCGGTTTTCTAGAAGAGCTGTGTCTGAGTTCCAAGTCCTCTTGGAGATGCGTGTGCCCTTTTCTGCACAGCTGCTCTCAAGAGCAATTTGAATGTGCCAAGCAAAGCTAGTGTTTTGGATTTGTTTATTCTTAAGGACTTGTTCCTAAAGTCATGGATTTCTTTAATAGCAGCTTCACAAAAATATTTAGGTTAGATGCAAATTATAGCAGCCTTAAACCTAATTTACAGTATATTCTGCAAAGTCATCTTATTTCTCCTTTCCTCCCCCCCGAAGCAAAGAAAAACTCTCCTTTAGTGATTGTAATGCCTGAAACCACAGAGCTTTTTGCACAGAGAAGTCCTCTGGTAATACCAAGCGTGGGGACATCTCTGTAATTCGAGCAGAGATCAGCCAGCAGTTGGTACAACGGATATGACGGTTTCTGGGTTGGTAAAAGGAAAAATAATCTACTTCCAGCAGTTGCAAGACCAGCGTCTGCATGGGTAATAAAAAGAAACTTTCACTGTGTTCTGCCAAGAGGGCTTTCTACATAAAGCAGCCAGAACGATCCACTTCTCTTATTTAGCGATGGGAATGCTTACAATAAAGGCTTAGATGCTAATAGCCACGAAGGAAGCTAGGTTATGAATTTAAGGCACACCGGTACCACCTCTGGACGCGTTACTGTTTGTGGTGCAAATAAAATGGCTCCTCCCGCTTAGCTTTTAGTGTGGGTTAGGATTGCCCACAACGTAGCAGAGGTACCCCTAGTCCGGATCCAGCTGCTCATCTTTTTTTCTTTTTCTCCTTTTGTGCTGGCTCTAGTAGTAAGCTGAATTGGAGAACTGATCAGACTAAAGAAGTTATTTGTGCTCATCTTTATTATAGCTGCTGGTGTAGGGAGGGGGAGGATCAGGCGCGAGTGGGTGGAACGGTCCCTTTTGGCAGTGTTCTAGATTTATGCTAGACTAGATCTTGTATCTGCAGTTTACGGTTATGAGTTATCTCAAACCGCCTTTAATGGGTTGCTTTTTTTCACAGGAAAAAGCTTGGTGTAAAACTATTTGGTACTTGTGGTAGCTCAAGGGCTTACAAATACCTTTTTTTAATGCCTTGTGAAAATTACGTGGACAGTCATGGGGTTAATGGAATTTTCACTTCCAGAGTTTCTCAGATTTTAATCTAGGTGTCATATCTGAAAAGCCTGCCTGCAGGTATTATGTAAGAGTTTTGTGATGTCCAGAAAAAGGGCTTTACATGGAAAGAGGTGTGTGTCATTAGGATATGCGTTTGTTTGTTTCTTACTGTCTCTCATGACTGCTGGAATGCTTGAATTCCTCCAAGCCCATAAATTTTCCTAAACCATTATGGTAAATTGACTTTGTACATAAGGGCTTCTGTCTTCAATGTTTGTTTAATCTTAATAAATTAATAACCCATGTATTTTTAAACATATTTATAACTCCATTGACACTGCTATCTTATCTTTTAAATTTCTTCTTAGCTTTAATTTTGTGTGAGCTGCCTGTCCCTTTTCTCTGTCTCTGCAGAAGGATTTTTATCTTGTCTAGCTGTACTGATTGAGGTCCTCTTTGGTTGTGGCGAACTGATCTTTGACCTAGAGAAGCAAACAAATCTACTTCTAAAAATATGATCTTTGGGATCTGTCCCAGTTATAAAATGCCTCTTTGTAGCAGGGCATTATCTGACCACGTAACAGTGCCAATTCCTGCAAATGTTGCTCAACGTATGAAGGGCTTATCGTCCAATGTTCAAACAAATGTAATAGCATCATAAATAAAACTTATTCTGTAGGGTAAATTGTCTTCTTGCATGCTAGGATAAAGTTCCATAAAGGAGAAAAGGCATACAGTGTTATCTGGTTTTATCTGCCTTAGCACCCCTGAAGTATTTAATATAAGATGCATATCTCCTTCAAGTTTAGCAGTTCTTTCTCTCTCCAGATATTAAAGGGTATTAAGAAATGCCTAAATATCCTTTTGCCTTGCCTGTGGCATGGTATAGGAGACTGCAGGTATGATTCTTCTCAAAACAAGTGTGTTTTGGTTTCTAGTGGTGACTTAGCTTTGAGACTGGCAACTTTTATTAGAAATCTGTGTCATACCAGTTCCCAAATTCTCCCCTTTGGCTGGTTCATTTTGCCCCTGTTGTAATTAAAGACGGGGGCTAGGTTTTCTCTTGGAGTTGAGCCTCTTCACGCTGCAAACTAGATGTGTTTAGTTGGGTGTTTAATTATGCGGACCAATGGCTTGATGTTCCCTATTTTGATGGGGTTAAAGCAAGAGGGTAGTGCGTGTCCGTATGCTGTTCAAACGCGTTTTCCCCCTTGGGAATGCTTGAATAAACCAGCTGCAGGCCTGGGTCGGCGCTGGCATTGCTGTGTTAATAAATGCCATGCTATGATGGAAACTAGCTAAAGGGGGAGGGAACCTGAGTTTTGTTCCTATGCCTTGTAAAAGTCGTGACGTGTCTCTTGTAAAGCCTGCAGATGGGCAGCCACTAGACCAGCTCTCTAAAATGTACGTATTTTAAGGGGCACCCTGGTCTAGCTCCTTGCTGTCTCCCTTCTCAGGGCACGGGCTGCTTGGATACCGTTGCTAGTGTGGTGATTTTGGTCTGCCCAATGTGGAAAAAGCAAGCTAATTTCTCTCTCTTAATGCTCAACCTCCGATTTAACCTCGTTCCCTTCTGAGCTTTTATATGAGCGCTTTTTCCTCCAGTCCTTTGTAGTAATCCAGATGCTCGTGTTCTTTTCCTCCTACACAGCAGATGGAGATGGCATAAGCCTTTTGATGACTGCTTCCTTCTTCTTACATAAGTTTTACGAGCTGGCGAGTTCGTTAGTTGGACGTGGTAGAGCTCGTAAGCCCTGTCCAGCAGGTGGTGCATCGTTACCTTGCCAATGGTTATATATATATATTTTAGGGATTTTTTTTTTTTTTTTTAGTTTTTAATTTAATCTGGGAGGTGAGCTTTCCCACATGGTTATAGGAGAGGGGAGGGCAGATCCTTCATATGTTACCTTGATGAATCTGTTTCGTTTTAGCCAAAAACTATTCTGAATTTGTTAATTACCTAAGTGCTGTGCTATTCCAAACTGTAAGAAAGCAACGCAGAGGTAATTTTTCTGGTTGAAGAGTTGAACTTCTGCTTTCTTGTGTGGTGTTCTAGGCTTGTAGCTCATATGAAAAATACTTGTTAAAATTTGGCATGAGTTAGATGGTCATCTTCCATACTCCAAGAAAGCTTAAGCAGGTTAGCAGCTCGCTCGCTCTGTTCCAGTATCACCTGTCTAGTAAAGCACAGTTTTTGGCTTGCTAACCATTTTACCGCTCATCGTTTTAACCTTATTGAAAAGTCTTTACCCCATTGAGGTGAGTGAGACCGTTTTTTCCATTTCATTGCAGACTTGGGCCTACGTAAATTCATCTGTTTTACATTTATTTCACAATTTGGATTTTTGTATTTCGCAACTTGGAGCTTCATTTCACAACCACAAGGCTTGGAGGCGTATTTTGATGGGTCCTGTAAAATAGCGATGTAGAAAATTTTTAATAAAGTGGGGGGAGAACCTTAGTCTCTGCCTAGTGATTTGGGTAGTTGCACGAGAATGTTATTGATCAGCATGCATGACAGATCTTATTGGAGATGTAAAATACAATGTGGCTGTTACTTAAATTACTTCTGGCTTCTCATTTTTTTAGGAATATCTTGGTGGACAAGCCCAATGATCAGTCCTCAAGATGGTCTTCAGAAAGCAATTACCCTCCCCAGGTAAGCATGTGAATCTCTGCAACTGTATAGCTATGTTGTACGACTTAATATCTACTGGAGTTTTTATTTTAAATGTAGGCTGCTATTATTTATACTGACAGCCTTTATAGGCTACTTTCAGTAGAATGCAGGTTGTTGTATTGGTAAGGTAGGCATTTACGTTTCCAGCAATTTATTTGTGATCTTTCAAGAAATGTTTTTTTTGCGGGGGAAGTTTCACATTTCATCCTTGACAATTGTGGTCATACTGGAAATAATCTAACCTTATGGTTAGATTAAGCTGCTAATGAGGCATGCAGGTCCCCCTTTGTCAGCACTACTGGAAACTTGTAGATTGCTGGCCTTGAATCCTAGATCTAGGGAGCTCATATTTGTTTCCCCTAATAGAGCATTTAGAAATGTAGACTCTGTTTAAAGAGACATGAATGTCACCTCTTCTGCTGGTTAATCACCTTATTAAAATAAGATTTGTATTGATTTTAGCATCTAATTTGCTTTTTCACTATTAATTAGATTGTTAGATGATCCAGAAAAAATATGCTTATCCTTTTAGTTATTTTTTTTTCCTCCAATAAATGTGTAATCCTTCTCTTTATGCTAGGTCTGTACCTTATTAGTCTGGTACTGTTTGATCAGCTTCTGTATCTCTGATGCTGGTTGTTTTAAATTCTTTTGTTTAAAACACTGATGCACAGCGGAGCGTGTTGTGCATTGTATCTCTCATGCAAAGTTCTTCCGCTTATCTACTTATTTAATCCAAGTATTCCTCATGAGTTAAGTCTCACAGAATTTTTCTCTAGGTAAATCTTGCTACTTGGCTTTGAAGGTGTGTTAAAAATCTATAGTCTAGACTGGCAGCTCCCTATAGCAGCAGGTCATCCCATCCAGCTGAAAGGCTTTCAGCTTGATTGTCATGACAAAGTGTTCTATGCTGTTGTGTCTGTAAAAGTGGGGTTATTTTAGGAGTAGAGGGAAGAATACTCTGTTTATACCATTAATGTGTTTCATAAACCTGCTTGCGAAGATTAATAATTTTGATCCCCTTGATGCTTCTGTGTATCTACTGCTCTTTTAATTTGTTTTTTTACATATATATATATTTTGATAAACAGCATAGGAATGTAATCCATAGCCTGAAGCAGTTTTAGTCTATCTAGGAACTATTGATTGCAGGGTAGTGGGTATTGAGCATGTATTGTATCCCAGTCCCTGCCGTCCTTTACTTCCTTTCACGCAGGAAGCACGTGTCTTTCTTGGGGCTCTCTCGTTCGCCAGGCGAGGTGGGCTTGTGGTGCAGCTTTGGACTGGGGTTTTCACCCGAGGTGCTCGTAGTTGTTGCTAAAAGTTGCTCTTTCATTTTCTGAGCCATCCTGAATGTTTTGTGCTTTTGAAAACCTGATTCCACAATGGGAATACATCTCTTGTAACTGGATGCTTTAGAATATTCCCAACCTATGCTTAAAGCTGACGAGCAGTGATACAAATTATATTCAAGCACGTAGAGTAAGCAGGGAATAATTAGAGTGACTTCTGTACAAACCATGTGAGCTTGTTAAAGAGGCGTCTTCCAACAATTCTACCTGTATTGGTCATGGCCTGTATGAAGATGCTGTTGCAGAACTACTGAATCTAACCCTGGAGAACTGGGAACACTCTGTCTCCCTGCCTGCCCCCCGGGGCA